TGAATTGTCATCTTTAAAAACAGGTTTTTGGCATAATTTCCACTTAGGTTTATTTACACCCTCTACCTCTTTTTTTTTTTTTTAACAAATGTTGATAAAATTTAAACACCATCAACTTTCGGGTAAATTAGATAATACTTAAAAATAAATATACACCATTTCTTCCCCATCATTTATGCCAGGGTTTATCCACTCTGCCAGGGCCACAAGGTTTTCTTCCCCCTCACCTATCACAGGAGGCTAGCTGGCCCTCGGCACTATCAGGGCCCTAGCAATATAGCATGGTTCTTTATGCCAAGGGGGTCAAGGGTTTCTTCTATTTTTCTTCCTAAGGTCTTGTTTTGTTTAGATAAGAAATATTTTTTTATTAAATTGCGATAAATGTTGATAAAATATATGATTGAAAAGTTGGGAGTCCATAAAATACGTGGTTAAAATTAAGCATTGAATTTTAATCCACTCTATTAGTGAAAGTTAAGGGGATGTTCTCTTTGTGTTTCAGTTTTGAATTCATTTTGTGTTTTGAATGTTCATTTTGAGATTGTTGAAAATGTGTTCTTTTTGGTATTTTGAAAAATTGTTTTGAAAACACCCAAAACGTGTTTTTCAAAATTTTGGTTTGATTATAACTGAAAACACCCAAAACGACAAATTTTGACTTGTTTTTAAAAACACGTTTTCGAACCCTGAGGGGTTGCTCAATTGGTCAGGCCTTGAGTTTGCTCCTCAATGATCACCAGTTCAAGTCCCCTCATGACCATTGAGGTAAGTACCCGGCCTTAAACTTCAGAGCCCCGTGGAATTAGTCGAGGTGAGCGCAAGCTGGTCCAGACATCCACGGTTATCAAAAAAAAAAACACACGTTTTCGAAAATAAGAAAGAGGATACGTTTTCACTGTTTTGGAAAATCGAAAACAGAAAACGACTTGAAAATTGTAAAGAGAATAGATCTTAATTCTTCCATGTTTCATTCTAAAATTCTTCATTTTTTGCCTAAATCCATTTACAATCTCTCTACAAGAAACGTCAATATGCCTTTGTTGCCCATGAACACCATTATGATGATCTCGCAATAGCAATCTTAAGTTGATGCTGCTTCGACCATCATCGTCACCTTCAGATTCATCTCTGATTTTTTATATTGAAACCATATCTTGTACCACGATTATTTCTTCTCTTCCAGACCCATTGTCATGCCACTCCACCTTATGAATCGAATAATGAAATTTCATACTTTGATTTGTGTCTAAATCTGAGTTGGTATTTTCTTTGTTAAAAAATAGGTTTGATTCAGATATGACGATGGTTGGAGTTAGA